CCTGATCTCACGGCCACACGATAGGTACTTGGACCAAACCAGACCGTCGGTGTTGCAGAGCCTTTTGGCTGCGGCAAAAGGCAGCGGCATCGCGACCGGGGCAGAACACCGTATGCGTAGAAGGTGTGGGTAAGATTTGTGTTCATCTCTCGTTGTACAGAAATATTTCCCACGAAACCCTTGGGAGTATGTGTGCCCAAGGTTTGTTCCCGACAAGTCTATTACAGCCATGATGTACCAACAGCACGACTACGCACCGCAGCACCAGCGGGAGAGAGCGCCTTCACTACGACAGCAGTATCATTGCAGTTGTACAGCCAGCCTATGCTTTATGCGTGTCTATCCCTTACCTGAATCGTTTCCGGTGGTCATGCCCATAAGGTCTTGGGTCAGCCAACTCGCGGGGGTTTGAATGACCACGGTCTTCCACCAACACAGGAAGCTTGGAACGGTGAAGTTCTTGTAGTTGGTTCTGGCGTGTGCATCCCTCTATTGGGTTGACATGGTCCCGGCCTCCCGCTTGGTGACAAGGCACTGGTAGTAAGCTGCCGCGTTCTGGATGAGCGATAGGTGCTTCGGAGTCTGTTTGGTATGACTGAGGTACTCCAGCAGATCATGGGAGTGTTCATTCCTGGGTAGGAGTAGCGCCTCCACGACCATGGTGGTGTTATGGATTCGTGCGTCCCTACAGCAGTAGCGTGCTGTCGTGGTTGACGAATGAGGAGCCACGGCTGTGTGCACGGGACTGTCACTTAGACACCCCCCAAACATGCACGTGGCCCCTAAAAAAAATCGCTCGCGCGAAAACAAACTGCTCGGAGCGTAAGACGGTCGTTTGGATCTTGATAATTATTTCCGTGAAGGCCACCCCCCCCCGGCCGAGAGAAAAAAAAAATCTCCGAAATAATCACGCCGTAATAAGACTCAGCCTATAAGGCCAGGCATCGGACAGAATCGTTAATTCTCGCACAGGGCGCCAGTAGAGGCTGCCAAAAACACACATAAAATGAGTCTACCTCCACAGGCCTCCTTGAAACCAATATCAAATATCACACCAGTCTAAATTCAAGTCAAGAGAGCAGAACGGCAGGCCCTTAACTAAGGTCAGCTTGCAATACATGTAGACCTTATGTATTCTACTGATGTCACTCGAGGACACCCTTTAACAGCGGGGGGGTTGTTGACGCACCCAATTCAGCTTCTGAATTCTTGCGTGGTGATATCGAGAGTGGTTGTAGCGGCCAAAATCTCCGCAAAACTGGCCAACACCCAGGGTGTTGTCCTGTTTGCTCTCGCCGCCACTGATCCCAATTTCCTGACCTGCGGGTTACTGCAGTCCCCGATGCCACTATTAGAGGCCACCATGACGAGGTGTCGTGTGGGCTGTCAAGTTCAGGTTTGCTACTCGAGCTGAAATATCGAAGGTCGCAGCAGTCTCTGAAGCAGTCCGTAATCTGCGCCGGAACCTACCATTTGCCGCAGCAGTGCTCACCGCCAATGACCTCAAACCTTTGAGCCGCCGGTCGTCACCAGTAGCTACTGATAATAGAACTAAACGACGGGAATCTTGCTTTCTTTTTTAATACTAAATCAATTGAGGAAATAGAGCCAGAGTCAGAAGAAGGAGGTGTTTCGCTTTTTCGCACGACGAATGAATGCAACAATCAATTTCTATTCGAAGTCCAATACATCAGGAGGCCGAGAAATCGAAAGCGCCGTTCCGGCGTGCGGAGTCCCGACCTGGGTATCCATCCCAGTAGGGGACACGATGGAGCCGCGGCATGCGTGATGGCATGCCCAGATCCCGTGGGGCCGTGATGTCCAAGACTGCAGCTGCGGTCAGAATACCCCCGAAAAATTGGGCGCTCACCGTTCACGACCCACGTCTTAATATTTGGCAATAAAAGGTTCACTCTCGGCTCGTAGCCACCCCGCTGGTCACTGGGATTTCTTCATGAATGAGTAGATACCTCCGGGGACGGACCCCTCGCCAGACGCTGCCTGAAAAGAACTTACTGGTATTTGGGAAAGTGAGTAGCCGAGATTCGAACCCGTGCACGAAGCTGTTAACGTCAACCGTTTAACCATTAGGTAGGCTAGTAGTCTAGTCAGCGCTGACTGAACAAGTGGTGGTGTAACGATTGGCGATACAAAGGATACCCGCACGAGTTCAAATACCGGCAGGATCACTTCTCTTTACAAAAAAGTGCACCTAGAACTATCAGCGGCTGGCGAGGGGCCCGTCCCCGAAGATCCTTGCACTCAATCCCAAGCCACTAGAAACCCATGTGATCCTGCCGGGTGCTAATGAGCTGAGCGTATGTATATCTTTTGTAAGATAACGGTACACCATTGGACTAGTCAGCGCTGACTGAACAAATGGTTTAACATTTGGCGATACCAACATTTGTCACAGCCGTGCTCGCCGCCACTAAACCCAATCTCCTGAACTGCGGGTATACAGCAGTAGCTGATGGGACTAGTTACTGCTGACGACCCGTGGTTCAGGGGTTTGGTCCGTGGCGGTGAGCACGGCTGTGACAAATGTAGGATGCCGCTTGGTTCCGGCGCAGATTTCGGACAGTTTTCAGAGGCTGCTGCGACCTTCGATATTATCAGCTCCAGTAGCAAAACCTGAACGTGCCAGCACGCACGACGCCTCTTCATGGTGTCCTCTACTGATGACTATAGAATGCGATACCTTACCCTGGCGGGAAGGTTGTTTTCTTTCTTTGTATAGGATTAACGTGTGGGAAAAGGGCCAGCGTCACAAATCCTTTTCTGCACCCCCTTAAGTTGATTGTTGCCTTCATTCTGTGCCTGATGCGTGTTTTTTTAGCATCATGAACAATCGGTTGGTCCTGATTTGCAGCAGAAATTCTAGTTGGTGCCTACCTTCATCGATGGGAGGTGTCTTAGTCTTAGGCGAGCTAACCGTTTTTAAAGGAATGTCCGCCCGACGGTGGCTTGCCTCCTAGATGTAGTAGATGTAGATTCTGCCGTA